AACTGATCTGACTAAACTAAAACATTTTCTGCTCTCCCATGCGAAGTGGAAATTTGTACTCTAAGATGAGGCCTGTAAGAAAAGCAGTTTAAGCTGTTGGCACTGGAAGACTAAGATGCACTAATTTTTGGAGGCTTAATCAGTTTTAGAAGAGAAGCTTTAAGCAGTGCACTAAAACTTAATAGGAGCCCTCTGAGTGGTGATTCTTGAAATGTTAGAGAAAAATAAAATTTAAAGGCTGAATAAACTAACAGCCAGAGAGATACTTTTGCAAACTTCAGATGATCTACTTCTTTGAAGAAACTCTGAAGCTTACTAACCTATAGATAATGCAAAAACCATTATTATTATAATTTTTATAAGTAAAGCATTATACTTTTAAATTACATATAAAATTATTATAATATATATTTATATATAATAATAAAATTATTATTATAATTTTAAAAAATGTGTATATGGTGAGTACAAGGTGAACAAATTATGTTTAAACAAGTAGAAAATATTGTTTACCTACATTAAACTAATAAAATCCCTTAGGTGAAATAGTTTTCTGAGATGAAGGGGCAAGACAAGTACATGTTTGGAATCATGTATATAGAATCTCTGCTATGAAGGCATGTCAATGCACATGCCAGAGTAACACTGTCAAAAATCCCACTTTGAAATTACCATTAATCTATTCCTTTCAGGTATAGAAATATAATGAAACTCAGCATCCTCAAACCAAAGAGCTATTAAGAAACGTAATTTAAAAAAGCTGTTAAAGAAAGTAATAAAATGTCTGTCAAAAGGAGCAACAGAATCAGAATTTGATTTCCAGTTTTCAGTGTTAAAAAGCAGAATAGTACCAAGGAGTTGTAAATATTGCTGACTTGTGAGCATTTTTGGACTGTAAAAGAAAAAAATGAGGATGACTTTACAGAGTAAGTGCCAACTATTGGACAGTCACAGAAGTTTGAAGAAACAAATAGGACAAAGCAAAGAAATCCAGAGTTTTACCTGTCTAGAAAAACTGGTGTTCTGATATGTGAGCCTTGGCTGTGAATCACAATATCTTAGAAGGACCATGTAAAATTGTCATCTTTGACAGACAGTATTCTCCAAGCTCCAGAACAGAAGAAAATATGAAGTATGGAGCTCTCTGTTTGCACAACATGGTCCCAGACTAGTAACAGAAAGACCAAAATTTTAGAATAATCCCCCAAAATAACAAACAAAAATGCAACAGATCATGTGTTATTAACACTTTTGCATTGAAGTAAGCTGATTGAAAAAAACCCAAACCAAATAGCATCCAAACAAGAGGACAGACCATTTCAGATGACAATTCAAGCCTCCTTCGTAACCTGCTTTTTAGGCTGGTGTACTTGGTGTCTGGTTCCCTTGAAGGAGTTCAATTAGTGTTGCACAATCTGCTTTTAAAAAAACTGGGTTTTCCAGGCCTAAATACTGGAGGAATCATCTTGAAAGTACTTTGTTAATCACACAGAGCTGAAAAAGATGTAGAATAAAGCAGGTGCTGTAACTTATCACTGAGCAATGGGAAAATTTAACCCAGTCTTGTGCTTACAAGTGAATTGACTGAACCCAGAAGGAGAGTGTGTAAAATCTGGACATTACACTAGGATGAAGAGGAAGTTTTTCTCTTATTTTAAATTACTTTTGGCAGCTGAATGATGGCTTTTTGTTTGGTTTGGTTTAAGGCGACTGAGTGTCTCTGCAGATATATTAAGTCTGATATGCTGGGATATGGTTTGAAGCTTTTCCTGACTGGCCTGATCAATCATGTTGTCATCCCTAACCTTCAGTGATTGATTAAAAAGCAGAACTCATCAGAAATGATTCGCTATGAGGAGATTATATTCTGACTATTTTACTAAGGTGATATATTATTCATAGTTTACAATAATTTTGCGGGTTTTTTCTGAGTATGTTCAGTCAGAGATTTTTGTTGTTTTCAAATTTAAATGAAAAGAAGTAGTAAAACTTTCCCACTGTTTCCTTTTTCCTTTTTTGATTATTATTTATGGTGACCATACAAAACTTACAGGTGACAAGAGAATTATTTAAATTGTTATGTGACTGAGTGTAATATATGCCACAGTTGCAGTGAGACTTTATCAGTTTTGTTGCTAATGACATTGGCATTTGCAGTGACATCTCAAAACTCAGTTAATCTAATACTTGAGCAGCCCCCTCTCCTAAGTAATGTGGAGCTGATGACTTGACAAAAATGTCTTATTAAAACTTTGCAGCAAAAATGTGAAAGAAGAAGATATGGCAGTTATGCTTCTTTCAAATAAGATGTTCTCTTCAGCAAGAATGCCTCGACTATGCTAATATAATGTGTCAGTATCTATGGAAATGTTCATTCCAAAAGCTTCTATTGACATCAATGAAAAAATGCTTAATGAAGGCAGATGGTGGTGTTTGAGTCTGTGACCTTTGCTTTAGTTCATTTTCTTTCAGGGGAACAAAGATTTTTATCCAGCGATGGTAGAAGTAATGGCTAAGAGCTCTGTAAATGAAATAACCAGTAATATTGATATTTTTTCTCTCACTTTCTGATCCATTTGTTTTAGTGACATCCACATATTAGCAAAAGCAATGAGAATATTTCCCTGATTTCCAAAAGCTATGTATAGGGAACATTTTGCATTAAATAAGAGTTTGTCATATAATCAGTTTTATTCTTTCCCTGGGGAACTCAATTTATTATTAGTCATTTTCTTCTGCCAGTGTGGGTCTTACAGCCAGGGACAGGAACATGGCAAATATATAGCAATGAAACCATACAAGTTGGCAGAGGCGTGCAGATGCAATTAAATTATTCCAGATCTTTAAAATAAAATCTGATCCAATATCAGGTTGTCAGTTTGTGTAATCCATTTCCAGCTTTTAAAAATACTGCAGTCTTAAGCTAAAGGTCTGATTCAAAAAAATAGATTGACGTATACCCCCTGATTTCAGGGTGTGCTGTACAAAGTCCTCAATATTTTATGTAAAGTACTAGGAGTAGTCATCTCCAAAGACAATGAAAATGAAGCTCCAACTCACCTCAGAATATCAGTAGCTTATTTTCTCTAATTTATGAAACTTCATGGCACGGGAGAAAGTGGTATCTTTCTTCTACAGGCTAGACATAGATTTCTAAGTAAAATATTTCTTTCTAGTGGTTCCATTTCCTATCAGGTCTATATAGCTACAGTGTTGGCTGAATTTCCCACACAGAGGAATCAACAGGTATGACTGACAGAAGAATTCATGCTTGGGAAAAATTGAAGGTTTTGGCTTCTTCCCCTGGAAGACTCAAAACAAAATGCTGAGTTATTATTCTCTTGATTCCTTTTCAGTATTTATGACTGCTACTCTAAGAAATACTTTACTATTTTATAAGGCTGGTATGCCTCCAGAAACTAAAGAATGTCAAATGATAAGCCCAGAGAAATAAGATTTTATCTGTGCTGCTATATGAACAATGTTTTTGAACAGATCAGGAATAATTGATGAATGCCGGAAATTGCTGGGAGAGCTGATGTTTTGTAACCGCAGTGAGGATTAGCACACATTTCTTGTAAGAATGAAAACTCATAAAAATTACGTCTCCATACTGAAATGGGATACTCTTTAAAAGAAATACATGTGCTTATATATATGCACATGCAATTGTACATATAAATGCATATATAAAAGGCAGCAGGATAGAAGTAGAGAACATGTGAACAAGTGTGTAAGGCCTTTCACCCAGTAGGTATAGTTTTATTATTGTTCTGCCATCAGATTAATGTAGTCTTTTTTCTGGACTAAATATGAGCTTTCCTGAAGAGGGGAATAGACAAAAATGCACTATGAATTTGTGGTCTCACATATATATATATGTATATATATGTATATATATGTATATATATGTATATATATGTATATATATGTATATATATGTCATATAAATATAAATGATGTACATATAGTCATATGCAGGCATATGCAGTGAGGCTGCTGCTTCTAGTAATTTTTTCAAGTGAAGATGCATACAGCTGTATGCTGTGTATGCTTTTTATACAATTTCTGCCCTAATTCACCTTTCTGTATCATTCTCTTGAAATCTCAGGCAGTTTGATGATGTATCTATTGAAAATAGTACTTCTCTGTTAATTGAATATTTGATGTTGCTTTTATAATCAATCGCTTTTAAAATTGGTGGTTTACCTTAAAGTCCTTATACACTTGAATATGAAATAATAGTCTTTTATCCTCACCCTTGCTTCTTTTTAGGTAGTTTCAAAGAGTTCTTTGCAAAGAGCAGTGTATCTTTTATATTGTGAGACAATTAACTTGTATGCAAGAGACATAGGTTTCTAGGAGTTTACACAAAATATGTTTGATTTCAAGCCACTTAAATTATAAAATGTATACCATAATTCTTTGTTTAGAAGAGCTGAGATGTGGCCAGATCCTTGAGGAAACATAAAAAGATTAATGATGGAGTTCTGCCTGGCTCTCAGATTCTCACTTCCTGAATCAGTGTAGCAGAAACATATAAGATGACACACTGACTCTGGGGAGGGAGCAGCAATGATTTGCCTTATTATTTCACATGTCAGTCATGTAATAGAGCAATACTGTGCCAAGCAGTAAAAGAAGAAATTTCTAGCTTATCTATCCTTCAGCTTGAAGAATCATTGCACATACTTCTGGAAAAAAAAGTATATATTTGCAAATTAGGACCTTACTATAGGTAAGAACAAAGAAATATCTAGATCTTCTCAGACGTTCTACTTGGAAGCAAGACAAAATACCGGGAAGCAGAAACAGTGCTCAGTTTGCATATTAATGGCCTTCTGAAGAAGTGCCCTACGGATCACCAGCTCCAGAAAAAATATTTTGAGTGAATTGCTATGTACTCTTTCTCCTGCAACGTAGAGCAAAGTTGCTTAATGTTCTTTCAGTCATTCTCAAACGTCTGTACATGTTCCCTTTGTTGTTTGATTGATTTATAGATCTATTTGAGATTTTTGGACTACGAGATGCAGAATTCCAACGAATGCAAAAGGAATTTTGTAGCAGTGTATGACGGAAGCAGCTCGGTGGAGGATTTGAAGGCAAAGTTTTGCAGCACAGTTGCCAATGATGTGATGCTGAGGACAGGCCTGGGTGTAATCCGCATGTGGGCAGATGAAGGCAGTCGAAACAGCCGATTCCAGATGCTCTTCACATCTTTCCAAGAACGTAAGACCCTAATCAATGCATCTTCCTTTAAGTTTGTTCACTGATACAAGTCCCAAAATCTGTTAATATTTTCTTCATGCACAGCAGTCTCTGAAGTATGTTGCCAAACAAGCTATATAAATATTTAACCAGTTCTTATTCCAAGCATTTGTAGTGAGTAATATTTTTTAATGCAGCAGACAGACCGCAAGATTCAAAACCAAGAAAACAGGTACAAGTGGTCATGATCTGTCCAATCATATAACTGTGACTTTTGCCTGATCCCCAAACTGCATGAAAGTTTTTCCTTACACAAGATGGAAAATAATACAACTCTGAAAGTTTTTATAAAGTCAGATCATTTTCTCTGAATTTGGTTTTTTAGATCTCATTACGATATGCATTTGAAGAATACCTTATGATTATTTTAGCACAAGTAGTGGGTGTGTGCGTATAGCAGTGAACATATGTGTCAGATATTGTTAAGCAAAGAGTTTAGGTTTTTTTTTTGTAGCAACAAAAGCTTTCTGAAATCCTTTCATATTTTGGTTAATATTCTCTTTATGTGCCTTACTTGTGTTTATATTTTATATGACATCTGGGCTCAGTTAATAAGCAATATAACCTGTAAAAGAAACAAAATGTATTTCTAGCCAGTTTAAGAAAAGAAACAATCAAATCACAAAAATCCCTCAACAAAACCCAATAGCTCCAATCACTGAAAACTATTGACCCAGATAATCCTGTGAAAGCCTTGTGAGAGATATCTATTTGTTTCCTTTGATAGGAATAATACATATTCGGCCTCTTTAGAAAGGTGCATTTATTTTCACGTGCTGGTTCGTGTTAATTTTTTATGTGTTTTTGGTTTGTGTATCGTGTGTCTGACAGAAAGAAAGATTTCTTTGTGACTGTCAGTGGCTGGAATGAAGGCTCAACCCACCAAACACATTCTTCATCTGTATTCTATGTGTGTGTGCCCTGCAATGAGGCAACGAGTCTCTGTTGAGAACAGCCTCCGTAATTCCTTAATTATGGCTCTGATTAAAAAATTTCTGACATTTTACATGCCTGAAACTGCATGCACTGCTGTACTCTCACACTCACAGCCTTAGGGTGGATTATATTATTCTTGCCTGCAAACCAGGCTGGGGTCTAAAAGACACTGAGAACCCTTGGTTGAGATGATATTGCCCTTTTCTCATTTCTGCAACTGGAGATGTCTTGAATATTCAAGATCTGATTCATTTTTTTCACAAGGCATCTTGATCTGTTACCTTAGAAACAACTGCATAGACACTGGAGGTTCACAGCATATAAAGAGCTGGAGAGTGAAGCACTATGATGACTAACTTGAAACGAAGGTTTGAATAAGTGTATGTTTGCAAAGCTCTCATATTTTAAAGGATAATAAGGAAAAATGTGGCGTTTTTTCCTCTTACAATATTCCTAATATATTTACCTGACATGCTACATCTTATAAGCTACTCCTTTTTTGTAAGCAGATGATAGTTTATAGTGAAAAATATTCTGATTGAGAAATTCAAAATACTAACATAATGTGCTTTCTGTAAATTTGCTCTGAAAAGTCATTGCTCACTAAAAGCAGACAATTTATTAAAGGCCAAATAACACTTTGAAATATGTCTACACAGCCTGCTCATAAATAGTAGAAGATACTGCATCTGTGATTTTAATGCTGGGAATTACCTTTAAAGATTTAAAGGTGATGCAGATGGTATTTTCTGTGTCTTGTCAGTTGTCCCTAAGTGCTGCCCTATGCCACACACTGGTTCTGGCTGTCAGGAGCTGGCTAGAACAGATGTCGGGGAGATACACTGAGACACAGCTCATGGCATGTAAACTGCAGAGCCTTTCAGCAGCGTGTGGGAATAATTAGATCATCTGCATGGAAGAGAAGGAATGTCAGACCTCATTCAGGGAGATGTGCATCAGGGAACAGACACCTGTGTGTCTCTTCAGGGACAAAGAAAGAGGAAAAAAATCTATTTTGTTTGTATAGAGCTGAGAAAAGAATAAAATAGAAGATTACATTTATGTTGCAGTAACACGCATGGTAAAGAGTGACAAAGTATTTTCTGTTCCTGTGGGAATGACCTGGAGGTGTTGTGATCTGTTTCTCCTATAGTTCTTATTGTGGAGTTAGGCTGTTGAGACTGTGAGTTTTCCCTTACACAAGGCTCTGTGTACTGGAAGTGGTATCTTGTGGAAACAAACTAATAAGCCTGAGCATTGTTTTCTTTCAGTGTAAGTCTATTCAGTGTTTATTCCAGTTACAGACCCATTTCCTGGGGACTGATATTTGTGCAGAACAGAGAGATCTTAAAGAGATTTCTTCTATGATTTTTTTTATATGTTTCAATCAGGGGGTTCCAAATCCATTTAAAATATGTATGCATTTTTTTTGGCCTCTAAAAAGTGCTCTTATAAGTTCCCAAACTTCTCACAGTGGTGCTTTCAGAGCAGCAGTGCTGTAAATATGTCTGAAGGAAAGGCATACAATGCATGAGGTTGTTAAATTTCCTGCACCAGAAAATCAAGAATGATTCTCATCATTGACAAAATAGTAGTTGAGCTCTATGTAACTCTTAATAACTGATTAATTCTTAATAGATGATAATTTATAGTGATGCTCTGATATTTCATGGTCAGCTTTATTAACTATTCCAACTGTCATTTTTTGGTTTGACTCTTTGTGTCCTTACTTTTTTATTTTTTAAGATATCTTCTAACCATGATCATATTTTTGTGCATGGGATTCACTATTACACTAGTTTTTAAATATCCAACAAATTAATATAAGAATCAGTAAAAGGTAAACAAAAATCTGGTATAATCAGTAGGTGTCTGTTCATCTGATAAGAAGACTTGAAAAATGAGTCTTTGTTTTCGCACCCACTGACTAAATGTTCATTTCATTTTCCATGATTGAAGAGTGATCTCCAGCCTGATTAATGACAGACATGCTACACCTACAGCTTCTTCAAAGAGCTGCTCCTCAGCAGACACACCTACGCTTTAGCCTAAAAGCAGATTTGTAGAACCAGCGCATATGGCATAAGAGAAGAACCCTCTGTATGCACAGCAGACAAGATATTCACTTTCTCACCTCTGACTGCCCTTTGGTAGCATGACTTTTGTGCCCAAAACCCTGCACCAGAAACCCCAGACCAGAAAGACTTCATTCCTTCCTTATTGTGGCTTTGAGCTCAAAGTCTGTTTTTAGAGCCCTGTCATGTGCAACTTTCCTAATGAAGCACAAGTTCTATCATTCTTATTTTATTGCTCTGAACAAAACTCATATTTGGACAGAAGTCCAAGGCCATGCTTAGAAGAGTAGTGTCCATTTTGATCAAGGAACAGCACTTAAGTTCTTGTTTACAGACTTGAAGAGGATCACCCAGCATGGGCAGTTCTTTAATGGGGAAGAGGGACTGCAGGTATGCAGCGCTAGGGACTGTGTTTCTGTGACAAAGCTAAGTACTGAAAAAGGGAACAGCAAGCTGTTTAGTGCAACCTGTGGAGAAGCAGTTTCTTTTTGCAAGGACTTAGGCATGTAAACAGATTGCAGCTTTGCTGGTTTTGCTCTCTGCTTCCACACTAATATTTTAAAAGGAAACCATTGGGATTGCCTCGTTACTGGTGAGCACTCATCTGCGATTTTCTTCCCTTCTGTGCTATTTGCAGCCATCTCTAGTGAAAAACCCTCACTGGCTAAGCATCCCAGTGACACTCTGACCCTGAACAAAATAATTCTTTGTGGTGCCCAGAGTGTATTAACAGAACACAGGCTGGAGCTCTGAGCACAGGCTCCTGACCTGCCATTCTCCGGTGAGTTTGTATATGAAAAAAAAATCCTGAACAAAAACCCATGAAACCACATATAGGTGTTTTTGAAAGACTAGATTATTGATCTGTATATGATAGTAACTACCCATAAAAGTTACATTTATCTTTCATAGAGCTATCTGAAAGTGACTGAGAAAGCATCAGTATTAAGCCCATCTCATTTTCAAGTTTCTAATAGCTGTATTTTAAAAAGCCTTTTTTTTATTAGTGGCAAATAATATTATTGTATTGCACAATCATATAACAATCTTAATAATTGTATTATTTTAATAAAGCAAGTGAAACTGTCTCTCAATAAATATTTTTCCTTGAAGAGACTGATAGGCAACTTCTGTTTCAAAGATGATTCAAGGAACATCTGAAGAATTTAAATTTTCCTTCTCTTATGGAGGAAAGTCTTATTTTTCATTAGAGAACAATGGGAAAATCCAAATGATCTGTACTTAAAGAATTCATGTGTGCAGAGCATGAGGCAATGAGCTATCTTGAGAAGAGGAGGAGTAGGTGTGAAATTTTCAACAACTTCAGTGTAAAATGTTTCTCACATCTAACCATTGTTAAGATTTCAGAGTTTTCCCATTCACCCTTAGGAGGAAGCAAGACCTTTCAAAAATGTTATAACAAGAAAGGAAAGGGAGAAAGGAGGGAGAGAGATAGGCCTAAAAATAACAAGTAGGGTAGGACATTTGTCTAAGATTATCCCATCCTGGCCTGAAATCCCTGCCTTGAAACAGGCTCAAGGGGTAAATCCACACAGTTCAATGAAGTGCAGCATAGACACCCAAGCTGGCTGGCTCAGCTAGTTCTCACCCTGGAAGGAAAGGAGCTGCACTAACTGTGCATGGTGCTGAGAAATAGTGAGAAAGCGCTGCACTGAAGAGGAGCAGCCAGGCTGCACACCAGCTCCATAACATAACAGATCTGCTTTTGGCTCCATCTTGTAAGAATATTTTGGCCTGCCCATGACTGCAGTTGATATCCAGAGTATCCTGCAATGCCCAACAAAATGATTCTTAATGCAGAGAGATAGTGTGTTCTGTTACTTATGTAATAATATCTCAATGATATAATAATTATTAATAACATGGAATATTTAATTTCTATACTGAAATGAAGAACTGTATGGAAGAACTATTAATACACTTTATATT